TTTTTTTCCCCCAACACTTACACAGTCTTTTTTACCTGGCATTTGCCTTGAATACTCATCGTCACAGTAAAAAAGCTTTACAAGTTCTATAACATCTTTACCGATTCGATGCCGTTCAACCACATCAGGGTATGCTATGATGCCTTTTTGGTCGCGTAAAAACTTTGCATTTTGAGTTTTGTGTTTAGAAACTGAAAACTCTTTTGCTGCTTTTCTGATAGACCAAGATTTTGGGGTTAATGTCAAAATTTGAAGTTGCTGTCTCCTGTTAGAAACCTTAAGTTTTTCTTTCATGCATTCTACAAGGAAGTCTATATCGCCAGCTTTGGTTTGAATTTCCTTTAGAACTTCATTTTTTGGTGCAACAAGATCGGATTCGGTTATATCCAGAGCAGTTGCAAGCTTCTTAATAACTGCTTCTTCAACTTGCTTTATCTTTCTCTTTCCAAGTGAAGGCTTGTTAGAGGTTTTGGGTAAATGAACTTTTAAAGGAGACACTTCAAGTTCGCATAAAGTACTGTTGAGCAACGATCTTGTTGATTCCAGTATAAGATCTTTTTCCATATTATCTTCAGGTAATTTTATCTCCAACTCGTTCTCTTCTGATTCTTCACTTGCTAATTTATGCCTGCATTGTGTACAAAGTTTTTCACCTGGAACTATGAATTTGCCTTTACTGCATAGGTATTTTGCTGTATCCAAGTTGATTTCACGAAGACTACCTAAAAAAAGGGAAGAACTCTTTTAATATGTATAAAATTTTTAATAAAACCTTCAAAAGTTTAAAGTTGTATGGCATTTAATTGTGCACTTTCAGAAGTCTTTCTAAAAGGTTAAATATAGCTAAAATAGAATTTTGCTGCCAAGAATTTCATTATTGTAATTCAAAACGTTTCTACAAAACTAAAAGTTTTACTATAAATTCATGATTACTATAAATACCTTTTATAGTTTTGTTATGAGTATTAAATGGATTGCAGCACCGTGTTAATTTAGTTGTATAACGCTTCAAATAAACATGTTTATGATGGAGACAAGTTGTTGGTTTGATATTTATTATTGAGAGCCCAGTCCTCCACATTAAAATTTCTCTTTCATATTCAATAATATCTTCAAAAGGTTCGATTCCCAGCAACGATGTATATGTTGTAAGATGACATTCACTTTCTAGGTTGATTCCAATAGAGCACTTTTGACTGTTTGCCATGACTAAGAAACTGAATTACCAAACAAGATTTAATAATTATTTAATCTAAAATTGAAATAATTTTTTTATTGAAATTTGTTATTATTAACTGTTGTTTTAAAACTATATTTAGACACATAACTGACGTCCCAAAACTATATTTACACATCACAGCAGGTGTTGCAAAACTATATTTTTCATTATAATTCACTTCACAAAATTTTATTTCTATATCAAAATCAACCTTAATAAACTCTTTTTACACACCACAATTGAACCCATGAGAGTCAGGCAATTTGTGAAAATGTTACCCCGTTTTTTTCAACGTGGTGCAACAATTAGTCGTGGTAGTGATACAACATTTACAGTGCCCACTACAAAATCACGGAAACTTGAAATAAAAAAGTTAGAGCATTTTAAAAAACGTTTTCTTCTACTTCAAAAGAAAAGTTACAGCACAAAATGATATTAGAATTTATGGCTAGCAATGGGATAAGGCAGCTAGGCGATCCTGTGATTAGTGAGTTTGCTGATCGATTTCAGCCAGAACCTCTACATTTAGAAATCAACAGTTGGCAACATTTGCTAGGTAATTTTTTAATCTTCATTTTTAGCATAGTCATGAGAATTAACAGTCTAAAAAAAAAAGCGGTTTCTATTTTTATACCGTTTTATGTTGAAACTCATAACAATGATCCTCTGAAGGTGCACAAAAAAGTAAACAAAACTTTATTTAACATTACTCTCCTTAAAAGTTTGAACTGGAGATTGGTTTTGAGATTTAATGTGAATAGTTTTTAAAAAATTTTGATATGAATTATTTTTTTATTCTGTTAGAAAAGATTAACTTTAAAAATCTATTTTACATAGCTGAAGTAGAATTTTATAATGATATATAAAAACATATAAATATATATATATATATATATATATATATATATATATATATATATATATATATATATATATATATATATACACACACACACACACACACACACACACACACATATATATATATATGTATATATATATATACATATATATATATATATATATATATATATATATATATATATATATATATATATATATATATATATATATATATATATATATATATATATATATATATATATATATATATACATATATATTAGTTATCTTCACTTTTTTTCAGATGACTGTAAAATGGTTTATTATATGTACATTTTGTTTGTTGTGTCAATTGATCAAAAACAAATACAATGTGAATTGTTTTTTGTTCTTTGACACAAAAATTTGATAGAAATATTTTGGTCTTTAACTTTCTGCAAAAGAAATTATTTTTTGTATGCTTGGAGTTTACTACTCATCAAAAGTAAGAAGCAATTTGTATTATCAGTGAGTAAATTTTTCAAGTTACCTTTACTTTTTATGTTGTGTAGTAAACTTAAATACATTGTATTAATACAATAGCACATAAATGGTATTAATACAATGTATTCAAGTTTGATTATTTTGAATAATTATTTAACTATTATTGGTATTATCTGTTAATTTTTTTTCACTAGCTTCAAAATTCTGAAATTACTTTACTGTGATGATATCATGATATTTTATACTTTCATTATGAGATGTTTTTGTTTGTTTGATGTACAGTGTACCTTTAGAAGATTGAAATTGAGTAGTTTCTTGAACAAAAACATAAACAAAGCGCTATATTTTGCTTCCAGACTATATATTTTTTGTAACTATGTTTTAAGTTATTTTTAGTCTTATATTTTACGTTGCCTTAAAATTTAAAATCTAGATCTTATATACAAAGAAGCAGTACATCGGAATAAGTTTAATGAATTTATTTCTGCTTTGAAAAACCCAGTAGAAAAAACCCAGAAAAACAAGGATGGAGAAGTGGGGTGTGGCCTTAAATTTATTGCTAAAGGCATAGAAGAACATTATAGTATAGTAAATAGTCAGTTCAAAAAGTTAAAAACTCGTTTAATTGGTGCTCAGGCTATATCACTTCCACGGTATAGCAATCGAATTGTAGATATTTTAGCTATGGAAAATGAAACTGGTCCATTAAAAGTAAGACGTTTAGCACTCTCAAAACTTTGTGAAATGTTGCGAGATATTGGTTTGTTAATAAATGCAGTTGATGTAAAGAGTACCAGTTACCCTGCAGATGTTTTTACAGTGTGTCAACAATATTTTGATTTGTTTTCCTTGTTTTTTGCACAAAACTGCAACGTTACCGTTTGGACAGTAGGTTATGCTATTCCTTTTTTTGTTGCAGAATTTTATAAAAAATTTGGCGTCGGTTATGGAATGATCTCAATGCAAGGTAAAGAGTCAAAGCATTCTGAAATCAAAATGCAGTTACGATTTGAAAGTAATAGATCTGAGTCGCATGATAATAAAAGTAAATGGTTCCAGTTAATGCGAACTCACTTTGTACGAAATTTTTATATTCCTTACCATTTTCCGTTCATTTCTACATACCACTCTCATTACATACTCGAAAGCCAGTTCCAAGTAATAGTAAGCAATGTTCCTGTTCTTGTACTCTCAATTCTGATGAGCTCTGTCAAAATTGCATTGACTGTTTTCCTTTAATGGAATGTGTTTTAAAAAAAGAAATATTTGGATTAATCCTTAATATGGTAAAGCCTGTTAGGTGCCCATTATGTACACAAGTGTTTCCTGATGTTCTTCTACAAAATCACAAGTGTATATCACTAACACATAATTTTAATTGTAAAGATATTGCACCTCAGGATATGACAAACGAAAACTTAAAGTTTGAGTTATCTAAACGAAACTAATCTTCTGACGGAACTAGAACCATGTTAATACGACGTTTGGATAATTTACTGGGTTAACAGCATTGTTATTGGTGAGTTTTATATAGTAGTTCTTGGAAACAAAAAAACTTAAAAACGGCTATTTTCATAGCCACAAATTTATTTAAAAGCATTTTAATGGTGCATGTAACTAAATCCAATGCTATGTAAGTAATAATAAAATAATACCTTCAAATTTTGTTGCTTGATTCATAAAATCTTTATTCATCACTGCATGACTTAGTTTATGATTTAAAAGATAAACATCCGACAGATGTTAAACTTTTGAAATCATTTCTAAAATTGCAGTTTAGCTTCTACTATCTTGACTCACATAGCATCACTGCAAATGAAATATCTAAAAATTAAAATTTTAGAAGCTGAATAAAAACTATTTAAAAAAAATTATATAACTGCCTATTTAGAAAAGTAAAGAATCCAAAAATAAAGGGCTAACCTATAGCAACAATACTTATACTTTACACACACACATATATATATATATATATATATATATATATATATATATATATATATATATATATATATATATATATATATATAATTATTATTTATATAGCTATTATAAAAGCGATAATATAGTAATTAAAAATTAAATTTTAGAAACTAAATAGAGAAAACACCGACATCTAACACCCCTAAATCCTACAGAATTATAGGTAAATGCAAAGTTTGTTTTGATTTTTACAAACACTGCCTCGCTTTGAAAAATCCCCTTTCTCTGTCGCAGATATTTATGAAAATGTCTATTTTTTACTTTTTTATACAAATGTTTATATATACTTTTACAAAAAACATTAAAAATGCTACTATAATAATTATAGAAGCATAAAAATGACAAAAAAAGTTTTTATTTTATGTAAATTTTTATTTATGCAACTATTTAACCTTAATTATTTTGGAGCATATAGAGCTATATATCAAACTTTATATAACAATGTAAAGATAATGAAATAAAAAGTAAACTAGATTGATATTTGTTTGTAAATAAAATTAAAAGATGTCCAACTTTTTGTGTTAATTTAATGTTAAAGATTTTTCTCAGATGCTCTACTACTGGTTCATTAAAGATTAAACTGTTCCATCAATAGCAAAACCATTTGCATCATATCTTTAAATATAATAAAAAATGTTTTTATTTAAACAATACTCAAACCTTAAGGGAGTTTTTGATGTTATTGGAACAATTGCTTTTCCAGTAAATTCATGTATTGTTTTGTTACTGACATCACTTTTTTTTTTTTTATAAACTCGCTTCAGTAAATAGTTAATCCCTTGCAATCTCCATGGATCAAAAACTTTTTCTATAGTAGCCTTTTGATCAATTGTAATAACCAACTTTTTTATAGCATATTTTCTCTTCCATTTCACTATCTCCTTTTTTCCTCTGTATGCTGAACACAATGCAGCAATAGATTTATAGATCTGCTATGGAATATACATAGAAATAATTGGCATTAAACCCGTGGCTTGTCCTTTTGCCAGTCTCCTATAGAGAGTTTTACCTATCTCCTTTAAATAGCCATCTATCAATGGCCCAGCTAGACATAGTTGATTTCCAATATTTTTTTCAATTAATTGTTCCATATTGGAGTGTTCTTTATAGTCCTTAAAATAAATAAAAAATTATTTGCATAAAATCCAAGATTGTTTATATTTATTTTACAAACACACACACAGAAATGGAAATGCCTACATAGCTATCACAGAAAACATAATTACTGACATCGTTATGAAATAAGGAGAACATGGAAGGGATTTATAAAAGTTGATAGTTTAAGGATTTAAATGTGCAAAATGTGCTAATTTAAAAACCAAAGGAAAGTTATATATAAACACTAAATTACTTGTGTGTATTTTGGTGAAAACTTTTCCAATTTTGCACACCTAAAATCCAACCAGTTTTTCAGAATAATATATATATATATATATATATATATATATATATATATATATATATATATATATATATATATATATATATATATATATGTATACATACATATATATATATAAATACACTAGTGCATATATATATACATATATAAATATATGTGTATATACATACATAAATATATATATATATAAATACATATTAATTATATATTTTATGTATATATATATATATATATATAAATATATATATATATATATATATATATATATATATATATATATATATATATATATATATATATTTAATAATAAATGCAATATACTATAATAATATTGTTATATATTATCATAATTATTGTTATAGTTATTAGGATTAATTAATTAACAATAGTATTATGAAATAATACTACAATTTAAAGCTATAAATATTCAATTCAAATATAAATAGAAAATAAAACTAAATAAAACACCACCTTATCACTTTTATCAATAACATCGGCAAACCAACGTCTTTCAAAAGTTGACAGTTCCAACTCGACTCTATTCCAGAACCCTTTGTTTCTTTCGACAGACATTTATAGCTTTAAATAGTTAAATATAAATATAGAAATTTAATGCAAGGCTTTGATATCTTAACTTGTTAAATCATTGGGGAAAAATAACCGATTTACAATAAACATTAGTAGTTTGGTCATAAACTTAGTTACTAAAACTTTACAGTTGTTTCAATATGGTTTCCGTTGTAATGAAGTTTAATTTAAAACACGCTTACTTTTCTCGCAAATGTTAAAACTGGCAATCGGGAGATTTTTTTGCTAAAGTTAACGCCGTGCGAAGGTAGCGAATGTGAAACCCTAACCCTAACCCTGACAAACTGCAAACTGGTAAAATGTGAACTCTTTTGCGAACCATCGTGGTTAATTTAGCGGTATATTTTAAGGACTTTTAGCGAAAAAATTATTAAAATAAAAATAATATAAAATTAAGTGAAACTAGACGAATACAATATGAATATATATATATATATATATATATATATATATATATATATATATATATATATATATATATATATATATATATATATATATATATATATATATATATATATATATATATATATATATATATATATTTAATCATTTGATAGACTGCCTGCCCAAACCAAACCCTCAGTCAATGTAGCAACACTCCGTTGCAAGTCAGGCTATTTGTCAGTCGATATAGCAGCACTCCGTTGCGAGTCAGGCTATAAGATAACCGATGTAGCATCACTCCGCGCATGTTTTACAGTTAAAAAATAAAAATTTTATTTTAAATAAAGCTTCAAAATAGATAGTTAAAAATTGGAGAGTTTTTTATTATTTTTATTTTTATCATAAAAATAATGGTCTTTAAAATATAATGTTTTGTTTCGTTAAAGAGTTCGGTTCGCAGCTCGCGGTGTGCAGTTCGCATTTTACCGACAACCGAGGAATAGCGCATAACTTGACATTTTGATGAAAACTGAAGTGTTTCAGAAAACTATTTAAAACAAATAAATATAGCTATTTTATTGATAATTTTTAATTAAATTTTTTTTTTTTTTTTTTTTTTTTCTTTTTGAGGGGGGGGGGGGGGATATTTTCTGGGGGGATTTTTTCCGGGGGGATTTTTTCCTGATACCTTTCTTATGCGTTTTTTTTTACCGTTCTTTCAATTCGGCTAGAGTTGTTTCATATTTCTCGACTGCCTTTCTTTATTCCTTCATTTCATTTTTAAGATTTTAATTTCTTCTTGTATATTATTAAATTTAATTTTCATTTTATCGAATTTATCATTAAAAAATTTAATAAATGTGTTTTCATGTATCTCCAGTAAATCCTTTATATATAAAAAATACGTCCGTTCACGATCGCGGTTGACAAGCAAAAAAATATATATATTGGGACCAGTGGCGTCGCTAGGGTTAGTGTCACTCAGTGCGATAAACTTTTGGTGTCACCCCAAAAATAATTATTGGTTAAGTCAAACTCAAAAATAAATTAACACGAGCATGAGCAATTCTGTCATACTTGTATTATTTTCATTTTGGTGTCACTCCTCTGTGTAGTCCCGCACCCTCGTACCCCCTAGTGAAGCTACTGATTGGGATAAAATTTAAATTTAATTATTTTTAAGAGTACTTTTTATGAAATTCGACACCTCATTTTCATTCACGGGATCAATAAAAAAAAGAATTAGTACTAGGTATTTTAAGAAAGTTGCTAAAAACACATTTAAAAGTAACAACTTTTTTATTATATAGGTTGTCTTGAGTAGTCGCAAAATAGTTATTAAATATATTAACAACACTGGTCTGACCTGAGATGACATTATTTTTAATTAGTTTGTCTTAAATAGCTGCAAAATAGTTATAAAATATATTAGCAACGCTGGTCTGATCTGAAATTTTCATTGCTTTTGAGACTAAAAGACTTACTATTAGTAAAAGGTTTGATGTTAATGATTTCCTTAATTCCCTTTTAAGTATTTTTTATATTATTGATATTGTTATTAAAAAAAGGTGCATAGTATAATTTTTTTAAAGTATCTTAACAAATTGCTAATTTTATTTCTGTATCACTTAAGCTTACCCGGTGGGAAATCGGCTAGCGAATAGCTAGCTATAATCGTAGCAATAAAGACAGCGATTTGGCCATGAGAATCGCTAGATAAAGACAGCGATTAGGCTACGAGGACTGCTAGCTTAACAAGCTAATGACCCACTGGCTATTGTAGCTAGCGTCATATCGTAATGAAATCGTTGTCTAAAAAATTTTGATATGTAGCTATCAATCAACTATACATTTGTAAATAATGTGTAGCTAGCTACAAAGCTACGATATGTAGCTAGCGACACATTGCTACAAAATCGCAATGTTTAAAGTTCAATTACCTTCATAAATATAATAGACTCAACACAAAAAATCGAATTTTTAAAGCTGTTAAAGACATTAAAAAAAATAAAACAGGAAAAAAAAATCGCTTGAAAATCGTTATAAAGCTAGCTAGTCGCTTGCTAGTCGCTAGCTCATTTCCCACCGGGTAGTAAGTAATAGATTTTTAGAATTCACATTTTTTGATCTAGCAAATTTTGTTATTTGAAATAAATTTAAGAATACCAGAAGTTAACCAGGGTTCGGAATGGAATTTGATTTATTTTTTTCTGAATTCTTTGTAAAGAGCAGAAAAAATTTATAGGTTTATTAATGTTATCAACTTCTTTTATGAGAAGTTCCCAGTTAATATCAGAAATTTCTTGTATTAAAGAACCGTAATAAAATTTTTTAAAACTTTTTAAAAATAATCTAACTTTTTTTTTTTAATAGGTGGATCATTAAGAATACAAACAAACTGTGCAATGTGGTCAGAGATTGAAATTGTAAGATTACCACAGTCAGACGAAAACAAATTCATGAAAATGTTGTCAATATTGTTAGAAAACAAATTCATGAAAATGTTGTCAATATTGTTAGAAAACAAATTCATGAAAATGTTGTCAATATTGTTAGAAAACAAATTCATGAAAATGTTGTCAATATTGCTAGAAAATAAATTCATGAAAATGTTGTCAATATTGTTAGAAAATAAATTCATGAAAATGTTGTCAATATTGTTAGAAAATAAATTCATGAAAATGTTGTCAATATTGTTAGAAAATAAATTCATGAAAATGTTGTCAATATTGTTAGAAAATAAATTCATGAAAATGTTGTCAATATTGTTTGAAAATAAATTCATGAAAATGTTGTCAATATTGTTAGAAAATAAATTCATGAAAATGTTGTCAATATTGTTAGAAAATAAATTCATGAAAATGTTGTCAATATTATTAGAAAATAAATTCATGAAAATGTTGTCAATATTGTTAGAAAATAAATTCATGAAAATGTTGTCAATATTGTTAGAAAATAAATTCATGAAAATGTTGTCAATATTGTTAGAAAATAAATTCATGAAAATGTTGTCAATATTGTTAGAAATAGAGAATGAGAGTATAAAGATTCAAAAGAATTAGAAACGACTTGTGATTCTCTTTAATTTAATAAATCTTTGTTAATATCTCCCATTAATACAAATTATTTTGTTTTTGACTTATTTTCTTCTATGGTAATTCTTTTTTGACTTATTTTCTTCTATGGTTCTATGGCCAGTTATATTAGAATCCTCTGCGTATCAGATAGGTTCAGAAATATCTATCACAATGAGAGGAGTATTAAAGGTTCTAATAAGACTGGAGAGGTCATTGATGTGAAATCGAAGAGAAAAAAATGTTAAGATGGAGTTTCTAAACAAATATTTATTTAGCTTATTAATGTCAAGGTATATAAATTTATTTGTAGGATTAAACATGTTTGTGTTTTCAAATAAATTTTTGAGGTAGTCAGAGGATTCATGAGATTTTTTGTATATAGAAAATTCTTGCAAGAGTTAATTTAAGTTCCAGATCAGAGAGTTTGCCAAATGGCATACTGTTTGATGAGCAGTTATGGCAAAACCATTAAGAAGTGTCATTGGAAAGCAGTTTGTAAGTATGTCAGTTGAAATACACTACCATTATTATTATACATTATATAATAGAAAATATAGAAAATCAAAAAGATAAAATAATCAAACGACAAACAGTAAATGAATAAATAACAACAGTAATGAATAATAGTAAACAAAATGAATAGTTGATTATATTATATATTATCGAATTAGTAAATAAAAATAATAGATTTATACTATTAACTAATAACAACGATAAAATAATAAACAATAGATAAAAACTAGATTTTTGTTCTGGTGATCTGAATACAGATCGAACTTTGTCTACAGTGAACAATCTGTTTTGTTTTTCAGTTTCATTCGAATATCTTTGAATATACTGCGCCATTATACCTATAGACCATTCTGAATGGTCATTTACAAAAATCAAAGTTTCAGCATATTTTTGAAAACTTTTAAAGCAAGATTGGGTATGCCAATATTTTGGTGGAAGGGAGAGCCAGTCTTTAACACGTTGCTTATCAAGACCAATCATGTCAAAAATCAGGTAAGAAAAGTCATCAACTAGGACAGACAAGGATGGTGGTTTTTTTCCAATATTTATATTCATTTTATAAATTTTCTTGATATCTTGTTTTACTTTGTTCTCAGGCTTATAATAGTCAGAGCTAGACATGCCAAATAAAAGAATTGCTGATGCAATTTTTATCTTCTCCTCTAATGTTAAATCATCATATAGAAAAGCTAGAGGTATCATTGAGTCCAAATACCAACAATGTTTATACTGAGATTCCAATACAGCATCAACAGCAGCTGTGTTTGTACATACCTTCTTATACAGATGCATTTGATGTATGGCTGTAATATCAAGAAAAGGAGCTTCGATGACATCCTCATATTGTGAATACCATTTTGCATAAAAGAAAATAATAAATTCTGTAATAAGCCTAATTTCAGTTTTTAGTTTATCGTTTTTTAAAACAAATGTAAGTTGGTTGGATAGAAGTTGAAGTTTTTGATAATAAATTGCTTTTCCTAAAAATCTTGCATGGTGAATAGCACCTGTTTTTCTTATTTTATAGGTAACAGGGGATAAGTAGGTTCTCTTTTAATACCTGGTTTACCAATGTAAGCTCTTCAAAATGTTAATGAATTCTCAGCTGCCTTCTTTAAAATATTGCTTTTAACACTATTCCAATCAAACCGTAAGAGTTGAATTGGATTATAATTAAAATTAGGTTCTTCAAAAATATTTTTTAATTTTTTAAAAAGAGGAATATCAGGTTCATTTGT